CGAGCGTTTACTTTCTTTCCTTTGGGAGCGGCAGTCAGCGGGTAAAGGCGGGTCTTCCTGGCCAATCTTAGAACACCGTCCTGATGGTACTTTGATTCAGAAATATTTCTTTTCAAGGATTGTGAAGCCTTGGCAAGAGCTTCTGCACAATGACTGGTGTTAGTACGCTTATATATAACCGATATAATCATCCAAGGGTAAAATGGCACTTAGAACAGTCCTGTATGAAGTGCTGGTAGTACATTACCATACCCAGAAACGACTTTATCTTCTTCTGGGATGGCGTAACCCCGTCCTCCATCATGAGATCAGCCTCTGAGATAGCGGTGATCGCCTTAACCTTGTCAGGATCGGTCGAAACCCCGCCTTCAGTCACAACATGGCCCAGAAATCTCACACTCCTCCGGAGCAGATGACATTTTTTGGGGGCCAGCTTCAGTCCATGGGCACGTAGTCTGCTAAACACAATCTCCAACCTCCTGAGAGCCTCTGCTTCATCGGGTGCATAAACAAGCAGGTCGTCGAGGTAGCACAGCAGGGTTAGGAAATTCTGGTCGCCAAATATGCCCATCATGAGACGCATGAAGCTCGCCGGACTGTTGCACAGGCCTTGGGGGAGTCTGTTAAACTCGTAGAGCCCCATTGGTGTTGTGAAGGCCGTTAGCTTTTTGTCCTCCTCTGCCATCTCAATATTGTAGAAGCCAGAGGTGAGATCCATGGCACTGAAAATTGCGTTACCTCCCAGGGCTGCCAGACAGTCTGACTGGTGGGGCAAGGGATGGGCATCCTTGACTGTGCGTGCGTTCAACCAGCGGTAGTCCACGCATATTCTGAGATCTCCATTCTTCTTCCACACCAGTACCAGTGGGGACGCCCACTCACTGTTGGATTTGCGGATCAGCTCTCGCTCCTCCATCTCTGTGAGCACCTGTCGCAACTTGTGGTACTGCCCTGGAGGGACGCGCCGATAAGGAAGTCTGAACGGCCTGTCGTCAGACAGATGGATGCGATGGACAAAATCCTTTGCCAGTCCACAGTCCAGCTTACCCTTGGAAAAGACATCCTCATACCTGTGGATCAGTTGCAGTACCTGAGCCTTCCAGTGGTCTGAGACTTCACAAGAGTCGAGGTCTAGGTCCTCCAACCCCATCTTCTGCAAGCTGTCACGCAGGCTAGGGCAGGAGGGAGGGCTACTCTGTGCGTCACTACACACTGTCTGGCTCTGGACCCTAAGGGTCTCACTTGGGTTTTGGTCAGAAGCCACTTCGAGATCTTCAACAGCTACACAAGCGGAAGCATCTGCTACCTTAGCGTTTCGTCTCAATGTGATAGGCTTATCACATGTGTTCAGGATTCGAACAGGGACCCACCTATCGCCACTCATAGAAACCACAGTTCTACAGACAATGACACCTTTTTTATGAGATTGCGATTTTGGTGGTTCAACCAGAATGGCGCTGCCCTCGGAAAGGGGTGATGACGCTGGCAGTCTGCCCCATACAAGGTGCTCTTGCTTGGGGAGTAGAGTCACTGCCTGAGCTAGTTTGACAGTGCCAATGACATCTGGCATTTTGTCACCCCTCCACCGGTTAATGCCAGACAGCATATTCAGAAACTGCACTATTTCAGGCGCTTCTGCTGATTCGGGTTTGCTCAGGACTTGCCAGAAATGGGGGGACAGCCTGAAGTGTCTGAGGAGGTGTTTGATAACATTTGTCCCTAAAATCAACTGATCTTTCTGACCGGGGACCACTAGGGCAGGCACTCTGAACGTACAATCATACACTTCCATTTTCAACTCGCATATACTCTTGGGTTTAACCTGAACTCCACCACAGCCCACTAGCACAATGTCGGTACGAGTGTCGCTTAATTCCAATGCGACCCCAGCGCTCTTTAACTCTCGCTCCGCCTCTTCGCTCAAGGTACACGCCATGGAACCTGTATCAAGAAGGGCCTGCAAAGAGACTTTGTCATTCACCAATGCATTCGTGTAAAATAGGCTGTCTGCCTCATCAAGTCTTACTATATTCTGGGAAAGTACAACAGTACCAGGTGGGGCACACTTCAGGCTTTCTTTGTATACAGTCTGTATGTCATCACTGGGATTGAGGGTTTCACACTCTTCGCTCACACTGTCCCCTCTCAAGTGCAAGCACCCTAGTTTCCCTGGGGATTATTTTGCTGGGTAATGGGCTCAGCTGCTCTGGGGCAGTCTTTCCTCTGATGCCCAACCTCCAGGCAACCTAGACATCTCCTCTCTCTCATGCAGTGAGTGCGCGTGGAATGTGAGCTATTGCCACAAACCTGGCACGAAGGGAACCTGGCTGAGGCTAGAGGCTGTGGTCTAATTACGGGGTGGACAGGCTGGTTGGAGCGCTCTAACACCCTCTCCAGCATACTGAGCACGCGGTCTAGAGCACTTGGGTCTGAAGCGGCAGCTCCAGCAGCCTTAACCGGGCTGTCCTGGGAACATTTTACTGTACCTACTTGGGCATGGTTCAGTTCAAACTCAGGCGACTCGCTTGTGGTTGTCGCAGTGGCCACGAGGAGGGGATGGGGTCTGGCAGAGCCCAGGCTCTTCTTTTTTGCATGACACTCTCTTTGGTGTTCATCAATGGCTTCCTGAACCTCCATTACTGTCCATTTACTGATGGGCTTACATTTGAAAACACAGGCGAGGCTGGGATCAGGACAATTTCTGATAAACATCATGGCTATCTCTGCCTTTGGTGTTCATCAATGGCTTCCTGAACCTCCATTACTGTCCATTTACTGATGGGCTTACATTTGAAAACACAGGCGAGGCTGGGATCAGGACAATTTCTGATAAACATCATGGCTATCTCTGCCTCCATGTTCTCCATTTTGCCTCCCTGACGCTGTAAATGCTTGTCAGCTGCCTCAGCAGCGATATTAAGCCTCACCCAATAGTCTACTGGGGTCTCTTTTGCAACTGCTTGGGTGGCATAGAAGTCAGCCAGTGGTTGACAGGAGCCAGGACTATCACTAAAATAACGCCTGAGTATGGCATAGATGGTCTCAGGGTTGGTCACTACACCAGAACATGAGTTACTTTTCAAACCCACCTTAACAATGTTTTTAGCTCTGCCGAGGAGGTGGTTTAAGACTTCATCCACCTGCACGGCTCTAGACAACCCTCTCTTCTCTAAGTACACTTCCATCATGTCTATCCACTCGTGAACAGAGTACTTATCCGCATCATCACCTCTGTACATAGGTGGGTCTTTGATATCTTGTCGGACCACTAAGTTCACTTTGGAGAGGTCGAGAGTGGTGTCAGGGCTCTTAACTTTGGGGGACTCGGCTGGGGCTGTCTGGTTTGGACCAAGTGGGACTTGACTGGATAGTAGCCGGCTAGCGATTGATTCACCTATCTGGGTTCCCAATTCACCAATGAGCTCACGTAGCTCTTTGTGTGTGCTGTCGTCGCTCAAAGCAGGGGTTGAGGACTGGCGCTCATGAGCTTTATTTCGAATAATGTCATCTGACTCTGCTGGCTCATCACGCGACATTATAGACCTGTCTCTCACTTCATCTGCCCCAGACAGTCTCCAACCTCTCCCAGCGACTGGCGTGAAAAGGTTAAAGGAGTCTTGGCCCCTACCAGCCATGTTGCTTACAGGAGGTTAGCAATAACTACAAAGAGGATCAGAAACAAAAGGAATACAAAAATACCTATCACTCAGAAAAATACAACACAAGTAAACATGGCTCAGTTAGACTCTAACAGGTGTAACTGGGGGAAATGCCTACTAACAGAACACTGGAAATTTTTTTGCTGACCCACAGAATTTTTACTTATATTACAGGTGTCGGAAGTGTTCAGCTCAACCTCAGCGATCGGCAGCGGCTGATCAGATGCATCCGGGTCACGGCACCACTGTTATGTAGCAGATGTGAAATGGACGACTGCGTTGTGACAACAGACACGGACTGGCTGGAAACAGGGTTTATTCCTATAAAACAGAGTGCAGCAGCAAAATCAGTGTCACACAGCGGCAGCAGGCTTCTCCTCACCCCAGTGTGGAGTCCGTACAGCTCTGCTCGCATCATATAAAAGAAAATACAACTTATCAAAATAACAATTCTCACAACCGCCACTTCAAAATCAAATATTACAGTGGGGTAAAACAGAGACAATTATGGAATCACTAACAATAACGTATAACATTCAAATTCCCATTAAAATAGGTCAATTGCATAATACATATTCAAACAACTTTTTAACTCTTCCCAACATGGCTGAAGATACTGCTCAGAGCACAGTCTCGGGACATGAGCTCATTATACACATAAAACAAAAACTACACATTTACACATACCTATAAAACAGAGTGCAGCAGCAAAATCAGTGTCACACAGCGGCAGCAGGCTTCTCCTCACCCCTGTTTAGCACAAGTAAGTTCCACATAAACGGATGATATAACAGATAAAGCGCCGTTCCAAATATCATTTTTCTCACTCAAAGCAATTGAAAACACTTTGAGAGCTTTTAACCCTAGGAGCCAATACTTAACAAAGACAAATACACCGAATTTAGATGGATAATTTAGTACAGGGAGAAGAGCTACAGAAAGCATGCCTCACCAGTGTGGAGTCCGTACAGCTCTGGCTAGGAAACCCCACACCCGCAATGTGGCCGCAGGTGGCGTTACACTGATTAATGTCCCACTTCAACAATGACACACGGAACCTCAGTTCCACAAAAAATAAAGTTCACACAATAAAAAAGTATAACCTATGTACAATACAGTTTTGAGAATGTTCACAATTCGTACATTATATCTCAGCTACACACGCACTAACACATCCTCCAACTACATGCACACATATTTTGCTCAATTGCAGTTTATTTCATACCTCAAACATTTAGTAAACAATTAAGCAAATACAAGGTAGTAAGAAAATAAACTACTAACTCTTTTATGCTATGTCCACACCTACACCGGTATTTTTGAAAACGCAGCTGTTTCGTCCACACGTAAATGGCGTTTGGAATCACCGAAAACTGAGATTTTTTTAAAACTCCTTTTTTTGCGTTTACGTGTGGACGAAGAATACAGAGTTTGTCACCCAACGTCAAAGGTATGTGCCTTTTTCATGTCAGCTGTGCACCACGTTATTGCTTACATGAGATGAATAGCAGAATGGCAGATAAACAGTATTTTGTCTCTATCTTCAGGTTTTACACTCTTACATATACAAACGCATTATTTGTATCCTGCTGTAACTTTACTGTATGAAGAGCTAACATCTCCAAAATGTCAGGAGTAGGTAGTTATTACAACAGAAAAGTGTAATCTATACTGACCTATACTGATAAAACTTTATAACGAAAACAGTCATTGTGCAGAAGCTCTTGCCAAGGCTTCACAATCCTTGAAAAGAAATATTTCTGAATCAAAAAGGTCGATGTCATCTATTTTACACAAGCACCGCTGCTGGGATATTGTCTTCTCTAGCAAAGACAGGTCATTTGGTTTATCGCTGCTTGGGCTTGAAGAAAATTTCATAGTGTACAATAGCATGATTTCAGACTGCTGAATCACAACCCACATTTGTGACTTGTTCAGATAGGGTAAAAATTGAACTGAATTCTAGTTAAGCCCAATTATCAGGCTAATGTTACAAACTGGAGGAGAGGAGGTTTAAATAATGATGCAATAAATAATTATTAACAACCATCTCCGAAAATGTTAGAGCACTTATGCAAATATGTGATGTCTTGATAAATCGAGCAGATATTTGAAGTTTACACAGCACCATTCTCGCATGAAAATATCTTAAAAGTTTATTTTGTGACCCAGAAAGAGTAATATTTCAAACTCCGCCACTCTGTGTTCCTCCGCCACTGCCTCGTTTGAGTTTTGGACGAAATGGATTCTGGGATATTGCATTTCGTCATTTCGAGCTGATTGGAGACCAAAACAGCCAATCAGATTTTTTTGCATCCAAGTCTGTGATTGGCTGGTTTTGTGGCACAAATATAACGGTGTACAGAAAGAGTTGAACGCGCACGGGCAGAAATGTTGAGAGCGCAAGCAACACATTGCGAGCAAGCGCAAATGCAAAAACTGAGCGAGAGGGGCTGCTATTGTGTGTGTGGATAATAGCAAACACTGAAATACATTTTTTGCACGCAGCAATGAATTTTGTTCACTCAAATTTAGCTTTTCTTCGCTCAAAATAAATTTCTCCTCAAAATGCAACACTTGCACCTGCAATTTTTTTTTTTAATGTGCGCTCAGAATAGTGGCAAAAAAATAACGCCATACTCTGATCATTAACCTATCTTTGACGTATTTTCTCCGTTAACGCTGTGAAAAGTGCTTCGGCATAGTGATGGGATTTCCGGCTCTTTTTAGAGAACTGGCTCTTTGGCTCAACTCACTAAAAAGAGTCGCTCTTTGGCTCCCAACCGGCTCTTCAGGTTGTTTTGTTGCTTTAATTAATTTATTATTAACAACAATATAAAATTATGCACAAAAGGAATTACTAATGTAAAAAAAAGTGGTTTTATTTATATATGTTTATATATAAATATATGCGGTGGCCCCTAGAGACAAAGCACGTACAAACTCCAAAACACATTTCTAGCGTTAACTGAACTTCCAAAACAGAGCTACCTAGATCACTTAAATTACACAATTGAAAGCATATGTGTATTGTTTGTGTATTTATACACAAGCACTCATATATATTCAAATAATTAAAAAAAAAAGTTCATTTACCTGTTACTACCACACACCAAATCCGGTCGTTGGTACTTCCTGGCTTGTGTAGCCACTAGGTAACAAAAGCTCAACACTGCCCCTAGCATCCTGGAGCACTTCTGTTGTGTTTTGTACGTGCTTCGGAGTTTTTACGTGTAAAAGAGTGAATAAGCTCATGTACACGCTATAAGTGCCCTACACGCTTGTACCTTGGAAAACGTTTGTCTTTTTACAGAAAAGAAACAGAATGGAGAAGTCTTGAGAGAGGAAAAGGTTTAAAAAGATATTCATTAAAATCAAGAAAAGCAAGCCTTGTGTGGAGATCTCGTCCAATTGTTCGCTGGCTGTCTAGCTTCACCTGGTCACGTGTAGTGAGGGCAGCACCGCCCCCCACCCCCGTGCATGGGGCTGTACGGCGTCAACGCATTAAATGAGCATTAGCTAAAGCCCACGCACAGGGCGATTCGCGGTAACTCGTAAACAGAGATTTGCCGCTTTAATGCAGTTATGGCGTTAACGTCATTTTAACGAGATTAACGCTGACAGCACTAATAGATAGATAGATAGATAGATAGAGAGAGAGATAGATAGATAGATAGATAGATAGAGAGATATAAAGGGATAGAGAGGACATAGAGAGGATAGTGTTAACACAACGCAAAAAAGAAAAGACTTAATCTTAGAGAAGCACTTGTTGCTGCCTGTCAATCTGCCAAGGGTTATGATGCCATTTTCAAACAATTTACACTCAATTGATCAACAGTGAGAAACATTATTCACAAGTAGAAAATATGATGATTTGTACTTGCTTTGCAGCTACAGCACCTGGTCACTTGCAGTCATTGAGTTGACCATGAACTCATCTGTATGTCAAAATATTCTAGAGTCAAATGTGAGGCCATCTGTCCAACAGCTAAAGCTTGGCTCAAATTGAGTCATGCAACAGAAAAAAATATCATATGCACGGCAACAAATCTACAACAGAATGTTGAAAAAGAAAAGAATCAATGTTGCAATCAGTGTTGCCAACTTAGGGACTTTGTCGCTATATTTAGCGAGTTTTCAGACCCCCTTAGCAACTTTTTTTCTAAAAAGCAACTAGCGACAAATCTGGCGACTTTTTCTGGTGTTATTGGAGACGTCTTTTTGACGTGAAAGCGCGTATCGCTTTTACTTTCAACAAGCAGCGGGTGCTGCCGTGGGCACCTCGCCCGTGCCAAAGCGCTCACAGGTGGAGGATAGTTCTCCCCCAGCTGCTATCAGTAGTGATGTGTGGATCAATCTTGACATATCGATTCCTCCGATACCAATCATTTATGTTCTAGAATCGATTCTCACATTAAAATATCGATATTTTAGTAATTTAGAGTAAATTTGTAGCTTATCATTAACAGGAACACAATGGAAAGAAACTATAACATTCAGATTGTCTACATTCAAAGGAACTACTTCCTCTTCCGCCTTTCATAGTCATGTGCGAAATACGGCTGTATAAATGTCTCGCAGCCCCTTGGCGTGTGCACTCACGACAATGGCTGAGCGTAATTGTGCGAATGTATTTTACCTCCACAAACAGCTGAGACGTGGTTTACGATACATGTGGCAAAAAAGTGAGGTGTTGTGGCCATACTTGCCAACCTTGAGACCTCAGAATTAGGGAGACATTCAAAAGGGCTGTTTGGGGGGGGGAGAAATATATTTTACAGTGTTTATTTATCGGATAAAATACGTTAAATGTCACCGAAACAGCAGGGGTGTCCAAATTCAGAGGCTGCTTCCACCTGAGGACCCACCCTTCGCGGTCTAAAGAAAGCCGGGTAGTACGTCATGAGTTCCCTCGGTGGAGTGAAACTCAGCCGTCTGCTCCTTGCTATCTAAAATATAACAGGACACTGACGTAAACTCTCGACCGTCTCACACTTCTATTTAATCAGTTTTCTGTTTGACATTTATTCAGCTGTGTGAAAACCCCGGAGGAACCCTCCCGAGGGATTAATAAAGTTAAATTTAATTTAATCTAATCTAATAACTTTAATCTCAGCCAAACCGATTTGCTCAAGAACAAATAAAACACTAAGAAAGCCAAACAATAACATTTTTAAGTTATCAAAGTGACTTATATATCATGTTTAACCCGAGTGGTGAAAGACCGCGGGGGTTTGAAGACGATGTGTCGATCGGCTCAGATATTTGAAGTTTACACAGCTACATTCTCACCTGAAAATATGTTAAAAGTTTTTTTGCGACCCAGAAAGAGAAATAAGAGTGATATTAAAACTAAGTAGCTGCCGTCATTGTTGGAGACTGGAATTGGCTGGGCTGCGCTATGAATTCTGCGATATGGTTTTTCAACTTTGTTGTCCGGGTGGAAAATCTGGAGAAAGGTGGGATTCTCCCAGAAAAATCAGCAGGGTTGGCATGTATGGTTGTGGCAACATCACTAACCTTGTCAAACACCTCAGAGTAAATCATATCACAGAATATGACGAGCGTATGTTGAGGTGAACTGAAGAGGAGAGGGACAGGTGCTGCTAGGGTGAGAGTCTCTCACGGAGAGTGCTGCAGGCAGGCAAGGTGTTCAAATAGCGCACAACTTTAGTTTTTTTATTTCTATATGATGAACTCTGCATTATTAAGCGATAAGAACAAGTAATCTGATGTCCTGTAATCATTATGACGCTATAATTTGAGATACAATAAATAAAATACGTTTTTGTACAAAGTATCGGTATCGGATCAGTATCGTCGATACCACCCTGAATATTACTTGGTATCGGATCGGAAAAGGAAATCAGTGGTATCGCACATCACTAGCTATCAGGGCAGGAGATGTTCACACCTATGCGTCCGAACTGCAAATGAATCGCGCATGACCGAAGCCGCTGCTCCTGCACCGACTGTAACGCAGTCAGTTCTTCTTTTACTGTTATGCTGTTTTGTGGGTCACAAGGTTTAGAACTACTTATAAAGACACACAAAGTAACTACACCAGAGTGCCTATTTTGGGTCACTTTTGCCGGTTCAAGCCCGGATAAAAGGAGCAGGGTTGGAATTGTGACATTACAAAAAACAATAATTGCTA